TTGGATGCCATCCTGGTGTGGGATGTTGGTATATAGGCTGGTAACGTCCATGGTGGCTAGGAGTGTGTTGCTGGGAAGGTGGTCTCTGTTTTTAAGTTTCTGTAGAAAGTCTGTAGTGTCTTGTACAAAACTTGCTCTGTGGGTGATGAGCGGTTTTAGGATTGATTCAATGAAACCTGATATTTCCTCAGTTAGGGTCCCGTGGTTAGATATGATAGGTCTGCCAGGGTTCCCTTATTTGTGGATTTTAGGGACTACATAAAAAGTCCCTGGGTTAGGTAGTGGGGGGATCAAGGTCTGTAGTTTTTCTTGTAGTTTTGATGGGAATGATTTGATGGTATTGTTGAGTTTCTTGGTGAAAAGGGGAGTAGGATCTTCTTGTAGTTCTTTGTAGTAGGTGGGGTCAGAGAGCTGTCTGTTGGCTTCCTTTATGTAGTCTTCACTGTTTAGGATGACTATGGCTCCTCCTTTATCCGCTGGTTTTATTACTATTTGGTGGTTAGTTCTTAGAGATTCTGTGGTGTTTTTCTCTGGTAGAGAGAGGTTGTTATGGTGGCGCGTGTTGCTGATTATTTCATTGTTCTTTCTTGCCCTGAAGCAGTCAGTGTAGCGCACCGCTAGTTATGACATATCACCCCTCCCTTGAACCTGTATGGAAAATCCTCAAACAATTGCAACCTATAATAGAAAGAGACCCTATTCTTAAAAAGATCTTCCCAGAGCCACCCATCCTAGCCTTCAAACAAGCACCGAACCTTACCAACCTCATCACCAGAAGCAAACTTCCTCAAGCCCAGAACACACCAAAAGGATCCAGACCATACCATGATGAGAAATGCAAAACCTGCCAACACATCTCCACCCCCCACCCAATCACTACACCCCACAACAGAGCCATCAGCATTCCTGGATCTTACACCTGCACCTCCAGAAATGTAATATATCTCATCCAATGCACCAAATGCCCTGATGGAAAATACATAGGAGAGACCAAACAACTGTGCACCAGAATGAATGCACACTGGAAATCTATCAAAGACAGGAATACCCAATTACCTGTGGGGGCACATTTCTCACAAGAAAACCACTCTCTCTCCAATCTCTCAGTCCTGTTCCTCAAAGGAAATTTACAAAACACTTCCCAGAGACGAGCCTATAAACTCCACTTCATCAGCCTCCTGGATACTAAAAGTCATGGACTAAATATAGACATTGGATTTATGACACATTATAGCCTGCCTGACATCCGACTCCTCAGGTATCTCTCCACTTTCATCCCCCTTCTCTCTCTCTTTCCCTGTCCCTCCAGCCTCTCTCTCACCCATTGACTCGTCAATCTACATTTTCACTGACTACCTGTCTTGTATGCATACCAGCCCAGCCTCTGGCTTCTTTACTTTTCATGCCATCCAGGAAGAGCACACACCAACTGCTGAAGCTTCCTTAGCCTGACGAAGGGTTTTTGAACCCGAAAGCTTGCTTAATAATTGTTTTCCAACTATTTAAGTTGGTCTAATAAAATATATCAGATTCACCCAAAGAGCCTTGTCTGCCTAATACCCATATAGGCACAGGATAGTGAGGATATCACTCTACTACTTAAGTTGTTGTATTTCAGACACTTAAGAAATCTGTAGAAGTGAATCTGTGGAAAATTCCCATGTTCAAAGATGAGTCGAGATAAATTGGTGTTGTGTAAGCCAAAGCAGCTCAGGCGGTACTAACCACTTAACAGACCTACACAATTTCTTGTGGTCCCCCTTGGAAACATTTCTTGCTGCTTCAGGAAAAAAAATGCCAAGTCTTGTGGTTATTGTCTAGAGAAGAAGAGGAGCAGAGCAAATGCAGTGATGTAATTTGCACTGCATCACATTACCACACCAAAGATTTTTTGTTTAAATTAGATTTTTAATTTGTGCTAAACAAAAATTAAGTTCTTGACAAAGAAAACCCATTACTAGGATTTAAAATACATGAACCAAACTTACTTACAGTAAAACTTCTAGAATTTTAATGGAATTATATTAGGAAGGATATTGATAATTGTGTGAACTTAGAGAAACAATGTTAATTTTCCTTTAGTGAGACTTCCAAGGTATAGTCAGGAAGATGTTGGTGAAGTACGGTATCCAATCTAGCCATGCAGTCAAGGTTCTTGCAAGCATTTTATGATGTTATCTCCACAATTTCCCCATCTGTTTGCATCTGTCTCTTAGCTCTTGCCTTAGAATTGGCTTGTAATTAGAGGTGCACTGATACATCGGTTCATATTGTATCGGCACCAGTAAAAGGAAAATTGACGTTATTGGCAGTTGGCTTTTTTTGGCTGACATGGCTGATAATGTTGCTGATAAATGCTGTATCCAGATGAGCTCTGGCTCTGTCACGTACCCCGCCCTGCCCCGGTTGGGTGGCACCTGCCCTCGCCTCACTCCCTTCCTCGCTGTGGGGGCCTTGATTTGCCCCCTCCACTCCCCTTCCCTCCCAACAGACTTACCAGCTGGATCCTGCTCTCCAAGCTGCCAGGTGGCATATTGGCATTTAGATTGGTATTGGCCAAGATGGCTGGTCAATAATTGGCCATTAGTATGATCCCAAAAAATCTTTATCGGTTCACTCCTACTTGTAAGCCTTTTGAGGAAAGAACTGTCTTCCTTCTTTATTGGTTTTATAATGTCTAATGCAATTTTATCCTGGTCCATGATGAGGACTCCTAGGCATTTTGATAAAAACAATAAAAAGCATTCTCATTTTAAATGGCTTGGCTTGGCTAATTTTTCTTTATTTAAGCACCTAAAAATGTGCTATAATTTTTAGAAGTCAGAGTACCCAGTAGTTCCCAAATAATTTCAGACTTAGTTAAAGGCAGGGTAAACTGTACTTGTAAAATCACAGCATGTAGCACTTATTTCCATGTCTGCACTGGAGTTTTTACCTGATGCAGTTACACTGGTGATAGACCAGCAACTCCTGAAATCCCCAGTATAGATGAGGCCTCATGTGAAAACTTAACTGACACAAAACAGTCATTTCTATAACTAGCAAAATTATACTATTTGTGCTTGTTGAGAAATATATTTTATCTTGGTTTAAAAGAAATGTGTATGTGCGTGCGTGTGTATAACAATACTTGAAGACCACAACTGTCACATATATAATAGGTTTAAGAGACATACATTCTATCTGACTTGGGCAAGCTTTTTATTAATCCAGTTTTAAAGGGATGAAAATACAGCTATTAATTCCTCTGCAAGAAGGCATGAGTTTTGCCTCACTTTTTTTCTCTCAAAGTGTGCAAGCTGGAACATTTAATATAATTATGATGACTTATACATATGACTTATGTATGATGTATTGCAATTTTTGAGTAGTTAATACCTCTGTGCACCAATATTTGTGTTTTAAATAAAACCGAATAGTCAAGGAGGCATTTATTTGGACAAATGAGGTGTGTCCACATGAGCACATACATGTGCTTTGCGGTGCCTCAAAGGCTTTTGAGGCTCCACAAAATGCACCTTGTGCACGTGATTTAGTTCTCTGTGCTGTGTATTTGTAGCACAAAGCCAAGTTTAGATACCAGGAAATCCTGGTATATAAAAATAAAGTGCCAAAATAGTGGCACAGCGCATATGGCAGCAGCATGTGCCACTCAAAACCAGAGCCTGGCCAGCTAGAGCCACACTCTGGCTGTCAGCCAGGCTCTGCATGCCTGGATTGCCACTGCTGCAGCTCTGGGATGTCCCCAGAACCCCAGGTAAGGCTATTGGAGCCAGCCCACGTGCTGTCCCTAGCCTTCTCTACCCAACACGGGACACTTTGCTGTGCAGCAGAGCAAGCATGCAGGGGTGTTCCCCAAGGACAACTAGCAATAGCACAAATATGTTCCCTGGGGAAACGCATGTGCGCACTCATCTGGACACAGCCATTGACTGTTATCCTTTTAAGTGCATGATATGGGTCCTAATTTAGAAACATTTTTAACCTTCACTGTTTGCTAATACAGCCAAATTCCAAGCAAAGAGTATAAGAATGAATTGCCAATAGGAGTGCTCAGAAGTTTGCCTACAGAATCTTATGATCCCAGTTAATAAAATAAATGTTTTTTGTTCACTTAGGAACGTTCCTCACTAACGGCTGAGAAAAAACGTTTTGCCCATAAACATGATGAAATGAAAAATCTAGAAGATGTTGTCAAAGATATAAAACCATCTGTACTTATAGGTGATTTCTTATTTATATTATACACTTTTAAGCAATGATATTTTAATTTTGATTTTGTCTAAAGGGAAGATTATGAACCCCTCTGAACAGGGATCAGCTTCCCTTAATTTTTGGAAAGCTCCTAGCACATAATGGACATTTAGAAAATATTAAAATATAATAAAATCATATAATAATGTGTTCATTCTAAAGCTCACATTTTACAGGTTAAATTATCTTTTTTCTTGAACTTCTGTGAAGAAAATGCATTTTCATTCTAATATTTCTGCCAGAGTTAAAGACTTTGTAATATATTTAACCCTAGACATTGGAATGAGGAACTGAAACGTTTGGGTTCCAGCTGTATGCTCTTATGCAGATAAAACTCTGACTTTTGTAGAAATGTTGCCTTTATAAGGATCTTGATGTCAGTAAAGTTCTCTATACAGTATAGTTGTCATATATCACTGCAGTTCTTCATACAGCTTAGTGAGTTTTCTACTGGCCATTTCAAGAATAAAAAAACATGTTCTTGAATTTTGACAGAATAAATGCATAACAAGATTCATCAATCCATCCATTAAAACTAATTGCTAAATCTTAAATGTTGGAAAATTTAAACATTTATGACTGCCATCTATCATGAAAGAAGATTTTGAATTTTAAAAAGAGCTACCTATTTGACTATTGTACCAACCTACATAATGTAAGCTTTTCATAATGAATACTGACTATTTGAAATCCTTTTCACAATTTAACTTAGCACTGATTATGAATCAGATAGATGCGACTTAGTTGTCTGAATAATTTGCTTATCTTTGCTCACAGAGTCAGGTGGAGGCCTATGGCAAAATATTGTTCAATTTTTCAGATAACATTTGTGTGTTCAAAATTACAGTTTTTTCCAACAAACCAAGTGTCTGCCAAAGAGACATTCCATATTTACATGCAGGACTTCAATTCAAATGCCAAGTGGTTGAAAATCTCTTTAGAGAAATTTGATTAAATACCTAGGTAAACTGAAGATTAAAAGCATCCAAATGAAAGTACCTGGATAGCTATATATTATAGTACTATATAGATATCTATAGATCTATCTATATAGATAGATAGATCTATAGATATCTATATAGATAGATAGATCTATAGATATATATCTCCAGATTAAGCTACTATAGATGGTATGACATGTTAGTATTTGCATGTACATGGCTTTTATTCAGAGGCCATTTTCATCTCTCTATATTGTATATGGGTAAGGCATTCTTAATGGAAACATAGGTCAAAATGACACTTTTTTTTTTTTTGTTTGGATGACTAATAGCTCAAAACCCTTCCCTGGATAAGTGGGGTCATGAGGTCAGTACATTGACTAATATTTTTTTCTAAGGTTTCACTTAATACAGTCTCAAAAAATGCCGTATATGGAGTTTTGCTGGACACTACTTAGGAAAAAAAAATGCCTTGCTCTTACCAACGAAATACAAGAAATTAAGAGTTTTGTAAGAGGAAAAAAAAGTAGTCAATAAGCGTCAATAAAATTATCTTTCCCATTCTTTTTTTAACTTTGTGGATTGGAATCTGCATTCCTAGCATTAGTTATCTAGAAAGATATTTTTAAAAAGAGATTAAAAATTTGAGACAGAGCAGGCCATCATTTAGTTTGACTCAAAAGTATGAGTGCCAAGCCTCCAAACTGCTCACTGTAACTATGTATAGAATAGGTTGCCTAAAGGAACTTCTACATCCAACAGTCCTGGTCCTTGCATGAAAGGTAAAGGCTTGAAAGTTAAAATCTGAGAACAAGTAATGAGTCAGATATAATTAACTTTGACCTAAATGGGGCTACAGTGATATGCTCCAGCTAAGGAATTGGCTCATTTGCTGTTCAGAAAATAGAACAATCTCTACATGAATAGATAAATATCTCTTAGAAACCTTCCAGTCTTTTGTACATGGCAGTAGAACATTGAGTGCATCCTGTTCTCTGGCACTGCACTAATGTGTCAGATCGTGTATGCCAGCTCTATTCTATTTTATATAAAAGGATCTGACAAAAGTGAAAGGAGAAATTTGACTGGATTGTGATTTATAATAAAGCTATCCAACTTTAGCATGGCTGGGGGCCACCCATGGTGCCAGTGTGTGGTATGCTGCAGGGGTGCTCCTCCCCCCAGGATCTCCCTCTGCTGTGCAGGCTGCACCAGCAACATGTAGCCCATCATACCCGGGCTGCACAGATCCCTGGAATCCCCTTGTCACCCAAGTGGCTTCTCTGCCCCTTGTTGTACAGGCTGTGCCAGTTGTGCATGCCCCCCTCCCTCCACACCCCCAGCCCTCCACCACTGGGTGGCAGCAGGAGAGCCATCCACTGGGGTCCATAGGTCGCATGTTAATTTCTTGCGGCTGCATGTGGTCTGCAGGTCACCAACCAGACAACCCTGCTTTACAAGATCCGCCTTGTATTGGGGATGATGATTGAATCTCATGATGATGATGTGGATGGCACTTCTTGAACCAATTCACCACAAGCTACTTGAGTTCCCTGACATACAAAAGAATTCTGATCCTGCGTCCCTTTTGAAAAGGATGCAAATGCATTATTTTCTGCAGAAGTCTTGCTGGCTACTGTAGAGAGTGAGGCCTTTCCTCAGCAATTCCTGCTCATCAGTGGGTTGGTTAGCACAATAGCCTTTGCACTAAATTAAGTACAAGGCATTTAAACATATTTAGCTGTTGTCTGTAGTTGTGACGGATAGAAAAGCCTTTCAGATTATTTTACATGGTATTGCATTGTTCAAATGTATCCAAAGAGGTTTTCAAATATTAACTAATATTTGAATCTTCTGCACTAATAGATATAGGATTTTGAAGTTATCCTCATGTAAAAGTTGTCCTTTTTGGTTTTTTACTACTAACATGGAAGAACACAAAATGTTTACTTTTTAACTGAGAAGTTACAGTAAAAGAAATGTTATTCCATATATTTATTGGTATCTTGAACAAATTAATTCCCAACATTTATCTTACCTTATCTTGTTTAGGAGTTGCTGCAATTGGTGGTGCTTTTACAAAAGAAATTCTCAAAGATATGGCATCCTTCAACAAACGGCCTATCATTTTTGCTCTCAGCAATCCAACCAGCAAAGCAGAGTGCTCTGCTGAACAGTGCTACCAAGTAACACAGGTAATGGGAGAAGGTCAATCAATATATAACCAATAAGTGTATTAGAGGATAATAATTGATTGTTATATTTATTTTAAAACAAATTTGTTGTACAGGAAATTAGAAGGTCAAAATTAGAAACACTTATTTAATTTTCTCTGGAAATATATTATGTATGCAACATGGCAAGAGGTAATTTTATCAAAGCCAATCAAACAAAAAACCCTTAGTTTGGTTTAAATTATAATTCAGGAATGTTGAAAAAATATTTTCAATATTTTTATTAACCCATTTTATGGATAAATAAGCTGTATTTTTGGTGTTAGGAGGTGCAAAGAAATGAGAGATGAACCTTTACTGAAAGTGTTCAGTACTTTCTAATTGTTGCTGTGTGCTGCTAACCCCATGCTGTATTCTGTGTAAG